AAATCTATAGAACAATGAAATTGCAAAGGCACTTGGCTTTAAAGTAAAGAACAATTTACGGAAACAAACATCTTAAATTTAAAAATAGAGCGTTTTCACAAAATGGTTTCACTGATAAAATTTGACCAAGTGCTCTACATTCCATGTCCTATCAATTTCTATCCCCTTGGGAGTCACCAACTTGTAGGTACCTGGGCGAATAACGGCCTTGATGATATAAGGTCCTTCATACTTCTTAGCCAGCTTCCCACCCTTAGTTGGTTGACTTTTCTCTCGTTTCCTCAGAACCTAATCCCCCACCTGGAACGCCCTTGGTTTCACCTTGCTATCAAAGTAAGATCTCACCTGGCGACGATAATTCTCTGCCCGAATCCGTGCTTCATCCCTTCGTTCCTCTACGAAATTCAGCTCTACGGCCTGATTCTGTTCGTTCACCTCCGGGTCATGTTCCATTTCTCTGCTGGTGGGGATTACTACCTCAGCGGGAGCCCGGGCTTCGAAACCATAAGCTAAGCCGAAAGGAGTGTCACCCCTAGCTCTCCTTGGAGTCGTCTTGTATGTCCACAGGATTCTTGGTAGTTCATCTACCCATTTGCTTCCTTCTGAAAGTAGCTTCTTCTTTATTCCGTCTATGATTGCCCTGTTGACGTTCTCCACTTGTCCATTAGCCTGAGGGTAGGCAACAGACACCTTTGTATGCTGAATTCCCAAAGTTTTGAGGAAGTCTTGAAACTCTGCTTCCTCAAACTGGGTTCCATTGTCAGATATGATCTGCCTCGGGACCCCAAACCTGCAGAGTATATTTGTTCCGACGAAGTCGATCATCTGCCTTCCAGTAATCCCAGCAAGTGGCTCAGCTTCCACCCACTGTGTGAAATAGTCTATCGCCACCACAATCCACCTTGCCTGCCCAGCTCCTTTCGGCAGGGCTCCCACAATATCAACCCCCCATCTTGAGAAGGGAATCACAGAGCTGATGGGCGTGTAATTCGTGGCTGGCCTCCCGGGTATATTCTGGAATTGTTGGCAGGTCGCGCACTTGCGCACATACTCTTCGCTATCCTTCCTCATCGTTGGCCAGAAGTATCCTTGGATAATAGCCCTTCTGGAAATGGAGTAAGGACCCTGATGTGCAGCACATAATCCTTCATGTATTTCCTCCATTAGTGCCTTTGCCTCTGCTGCTCTGAGGGAACGGAGTAAAACACCGTTGTAAGATCACTTATAGAGGACTCCATCCTATATCTTGTAGGTAGGTTCCCTCATTCGCAACAGACGTGCTTCTTGGGGATCCTCCGGGGCTTCACCGTCCTCAATGTATTTGGCCAACCGGTCCAGCCATTCCGGGGGATCAGCTGATACCCAGATCACCTCATTGCTGTTAAGACTCGGGGTTACCAGCTCCTCGACGGTTGCTAATTTGCTTATGTATTCCGGTGACTCTGCGCTGAGCTTGGATAGAACATCGGCCTCCGCGTTCTGGGCCCGGGGTATATGTTCAAGCTTAAACTCAAACCTCCCCAACATCTCTAAAGACAAGTCCCGATACCTCTTCATCCTCTCTTCCTTTGCTTCAAACTCCCCTGTGATTTGTCCCACCACTAATCGGGAGTCGCTGTAAACCTGAACCCCGGACACTCCCATCTTACTAAGAATCTTCAATCCGTTGATAAGGGCCTCATATCCAGATTCATTGTTGGATACGCGGAACTGAAATCTGATAGCGTAATAAATCCGGAATTTTTCTGGGGTGATCAAGACGATACCTGCTCCGCAAGATCGAGACCCAGAAGATCCATCAATGCTCATTACCCACCAGTCCTTTTCCACCCGGGTTTCAACCTGGGCTCTTGTCATTTCTCTGGCGGTGCACTCAACTTGAAAGTCGGAAAGTGCGTGCCCCTCGATTGATGGGCGCGGCCTGAACTCCACGTTATACTGACTGATGAAGACTGCCCACTTGGTCATCCGGGCAGATGCCGCGGGGCTTCGGGTAAGTGACGCCAAAGGCTCATTCGTGAGCACAACAATCCGGTGAGCCTGAAAGTACGGAGTTAATCTCTTCGTTGTCCAGAAGACCGCCAACATGGCTTTCTCCGGACGGGAATACCTTAACTCCGCATCTCTCAGGGTCTTGCTGATGTAGTAGACCGGATGTTGGGCCCCATGCTCTTCCCTTACGATCACAGTACTTATGGCACAGTCTGCAATTGCCAAGTATAGAGTCAAAACATCTCCAGGTTCCGGCTTAGATAAAACCGGTGGGCTTGCGAGATATCTCTTCAGTTCTTCGAATGCTTCTTGGCATTCCTGTGTCCATTCGAAGGCCGCCCTCTTCTTGATCACCGCAAAGAATGGGTGCGCCTTTTCTGCCAGCTTTGAAAGGAAATGATTCAAGGCCGCCAATCTCCCTGTTAGCCGCTGAACTTCCTTTGCTGTCTTCGGGGGTTCCATCTCCATAATGGCTCTTACTTTCTCCGGGTTTGCCTCAATTCCTTTCCGGCTGACCATGTGCCCAAGGAATTTCCCACCTTGAACGGCAAAAGTACATTTCTTCGGGTTCAATCTCCGATTTACTTTAATCATGATTTCAAAGACCTCTTCAAGGTCCCGGACATGGTCTCGGGCCTCTTTAGACTTGACAATCATATCATCAACATACGCTTCCATGGTCCGCCCTAAGACAGCCTTGAACACCTGAGAAACCATCCGGGTATATGTCGCCTCAGAATTTCTCAGCCCAAAGGCCATCACCAAGTAACAGTACAACCCTTCTGGGGTCATAAAACTTGTCTTTTCAGCATCAGCCGGATGCATCCGAATCTGATGGTAGCCACTGAAAGCGTCCATGAAGCTCATTAACTCTGACCCGGCAGTCTCATCCACCATCTGATCAATGTTGGGGAGAGGAAACGGATCCATGGGACATGCCTTGTTCAAATCTGTGTAGTCGACGCACATCCTCCACGAAGGGGGCTTGGGCTCCAGAACTACATTTGCCAACCAATCCGGGTACTGCACCTCCCGGATGTGCCCAATGCTCTGCAGGGTTGCTATCTCCTTCTTCACGAAATCTCTTCTTTCCTGCGACAAATTCCTCCGTTTCTGCTTCACTGGTTTAGCATCCCGCAGGACATTTAGGCAATGAAATGCAATCTTGTGATCCAGCCCTGGCATATCAGCTGGACTCCATGCAAAGACCCTCCTGAACCTTCAAAGGACTGAAATCACTCGTGATCTGAGTTCAGCCCCCAGGCCCTTGCCAATCCTGACCAACCTTCCCGGCGTGCCTGGCTCCAGTTCCACTTCTTCAATGTCGCCAGCAACTTCTACTCTGGGACATTTTTACTCAGCCCTCAGGAGCTGCGTAGTCACCTCTCCCAATTTAAACCCTCTCTCTCTTCACTTCACCTCACCAATTTTGTAACTCCCACACACTCACACATCCAACTCTCCCTCTTCTCCTTTGTGTGTTCGGCCAAGCATCCAGGCAAGGAGAGGTTCCGGTGAGTAGACGAGGAGGAAGAAGAGAAGGAGGTGACCACGAGAAACCATTCGTCGTTCAACGTTGTCAACCGTTCGTTCATCTTGTTCCATCATTCCGTCAATCCCTTTAATTTATTTGGAGGTGAGTAGTTGTCCCTCTAATTTTAGAACATCAAGTTATAATCTATGTTGTTATATTTATAGGAGTATCGTACGCAACCTATGTAGAATCTATGCATGTTCGTAGGTTAGCCATTCAAAAGTCACTACGTGAAAATCGTATATATTGGCCTAGGAATCACTAGGAATATATTCATAAATGTTTACATTATTGTTCTAAAAAGAATCAAGGTGTTAAGTTTGCAAAACGGATCAAAACAGAGCCAAAGACAGAAAACTGTCATCGGGACAGTCGACCGCCGCCAGAGACGGTGGACCGTTTCCCTCAGCCATCCCGACGGTCACCACCGTGAAGGTCGACCGCCGGCCTCGACGGAAGACCACGGTGGACCGTTTGTGACCCAGACCCCAGACCGTAGCCCACGGTCGACCGCCGGTAGGGAACGGTCGACCGTTTCGCGGGCAGAATTTCGGACAGTTTGTAGAACGAGCCCCGTTGACCATTTCGACTCAGAATCTGATTGTGTGTTCGCATTAAATGTTAATCTTCATTATGTACGTTATTTATATGATATATTATTGGCATCAAGCATTCATCATGTCCAATCTGAACACATGTATTCATCACGTTCATCCTAGACGCATGTCCTAGGTTTTCATCATGTGCATACCGTTGTAGGGAGGACTTTGTGTGCCTACTACAGCGGGCCCGTCCACCTATCTTGAGTGGGAGTGGGTTGCCTGCTAACTGATGACATAGTCGAAGCTATAATCAATGCAACA